TTGGGTTGAAAGATCACCGTTTTGCTCATTATTGAGGCTCATGAAATGCTGCGTCATCTTGCTGAGCTTGCTTCCTCAATTCTATTATCTCTAGAATCACAGAGCAAATCTACAAAAACTCCCCTTGCACAACCCCTTGCCACCATGGGATTGCCGAAATCACAATCCCTAGGCAGATGATCAACAAAAACGAACTGAAATCAGCAAGATATAGGCTTGGTTGTTGATCTAGGACACAAAAAATGATGCTACAATATCATGCTATCATGCTACAGTAATGTAGAACACTACTTGCTACGATACTGTGCTACAATACTGTCCATACAGATCGTTGGCTCTTAGACCACATGGATGCTGAAAAATTTGAGGGGACAGTAAAATTTACAAGAAACAAAGCCAAACAAATGCATAATTCAAAGAAACGTAGGGTTTCTTCTCCATAGCCCAACTAGGGTTCCGAAAGCTTAAGCCCTCTCTTTTTCAATTTATGAAAATCATGTGGAGTGACCCACTCAAGGCCCTACACACATCTTATATATTATAATAAATGTTCCAAGTACAAAAAGTGTCCAAACAAATAATATGTTGACCCATATATCCTAACTTAAACTTAAATTTCGTAATGATAGTTTTACCCATGTGAACAATAAGTACCCTTGAACAATAGTCGTGAACAATAATTGTGAATAGGAGTCATGAAGTAAATAAAAAATATAAAAACCCTAAAATCCTAGAAATAAACCTAAAACTATAACTATAACATACATCCTTTGAAATTAAATAAAATTAATTTTGCCCTCCATCAGGCAGGCTCTAAGGTAGACAGGTTTGTAGGTATGGTTGGTTCGAGCTAGGTAAAAGGATCAGACTGAGAATTATGTGAAGAAGGATGCCATTTTTTATCTTCTAGTTCACCTCACTTAGAACCCTTTGAAAGATTCTTTTGTTGGCATCCATTTTGTTCCTTGCCAAATTACCTAAATAATTATATGTGGAGTGAGACTTTCCAAATCTTGGCTGGGTAATATGTTTGCGAATTTTGTTTTGAACTTGTTTGTTGGGAGGTAAAGGATACTTGATTTGTCTACAATATGGTATTAAACCTCCATAAGATTGTTTTGTATATGTGAGTCACAAATTTGCATGAAACGAACTAATAATTGTTGCTCTCATTATTGGGTTTACAGAAGTGACTCATTCGACCCAATCAGAGTCACTATCTTTCCAGCCTATCGATTGTGACTATCTTCTTTTGATAAGCTAACTATGAAAACCATGAGGTCCAATGGTGGATTGGCTTTTTCATATGGCCATTAGTGTATTGTTTTACATCCCTTTGTCTTTTATCATTTCATGAGCTCTATCATGATTACTGTTGGGAACCCAAGTGTCACCTAAGGCCTAATGACCATGTTTTATTATAAGTGGGAGGGTTTTATGAATTCCAATCTTAAGCCCAAGAGTCCCTTGTTACTTTAGGTGTCCTTATATGATTCCTCTAAAGATATTTTTCCTTATTAAATCCTATTACATGTAGTGTTTTCCACTTGCTATTTTCCATCCAAATTTAGCTGGTGAGGACATGTTGAAGTCCTTAATCCTTTTGATACCAAATCACCTCCATTCTTAAGTTTAGAAACGGTCATCCAATTTACAAGGTTTCATTGTCTTTTGTTTTGTTGGTTCCTACTTGGGGGTGTTAATGGTCGAAAGTAGTTTGAAAGTTGATTACCAATGATTTCTTAATGCTGGTAGGCATGAGTTGATAAGGGTAATCCTCTGGGGTGAGATGCGTTAGTTTCCAACCTTTTGGGTAGATATGGTTTCCTCAATTAGGGGTTGACAAAAACTAGGGGTGAGTTTCCTTTAGAATAGTGACAAACCTTGATATGTTTTAGGAATTGGGAAGTGCCAATAGGCTGTATTTTAGGAATTGGCTAGGTCAAGATTTATCATTTGGTGGGGCTGAAGAAGAATATCTTTGTTTTTGTGGAATTTTTTATGTTGAATGGTGAAGATTGGAAGTGACCAAGGGTGTGTTTTAGGGAATGGTTAGAATGATGGTTGGTATTCCCAAAAATGAGGTAATTAGCATATAGTAGATGGGATGATGTAGTTAAGATTTAGAAGGTCTTGGTGGTTGAAATCTTCCTTAAATTGTTTATCTTTTGATGAGTTTGCTAAAACACTCCATGGCTTTGAGGAAGAGGTACGGGGAAGAGGGGGTGTTGATGCACATTTTTATTCAATTTATGAATTCTCACTCGAATCCATTTCTGTTGACATGGTATGAGAACTAAGATGCATTCTGGTTTAGGCGATCCTACTCCTAGGATATAGCTAGTTTGGTTGCACACCTCTTTAGTTAAATGAGTTGCATGCTAAAGAATTTGTCTAAATCCAAAACTTTCGTTGTGACACGATCCAAACCGGCAAAACGAAAATGATTCATTGATTTAAATCAAGTACCACTACATGCAAATAAAAAACTGGTTTTCACATCATAAAAAACCTGCAACTAAATCTAAACAATATATTGTTCTCTTGAGATATGAAAATGCCTATCTTGGTGTGTACCACATCCCTTCTATCAAAAATATTATGCAAATGCACTAAAATACATTTGAGACAGCTAATTAATCGATTTATGAAAATGATAATGGCATAAAGCATAGTCATAGTTTTAAAAAGTGGACCGCCTAGCGCCTAGGCGGCCGCCTAAGCGGTCTAGAAGGACTGGGCGCATTGCCCAGGCCTAGGCGGCCAAACTAGGTGGATATCCCTGGGCACCCTCCTAGGTGCCCGGGAACCTGCCTATGCGGCCACCCAGGGCCTGTGCCCTGCTCAAGGGCGGAATGCGGCTCATTGAGGGTATTTTTAGGTCATTTTTTTAATACTAAAGGGGAAAAATTGTTGGTTTTAGGTTCATTTGAAACCTAAAACCCATTAGAGGCTATTTTAGAGATAGAAAACCCCAAAAAAAAAAAGTTTCTGCTAGGCCGCTCAGGTTCTGGGAGCCCGCCTAGACGCTGGGCGGCCTGGACCGCCGGACTGCCTAGGTGCCGCCTAGCGCTTTTTGAAACACTGACCATAGTTACCAAATCTCTCACCAAAGGTCCCGATTCTGATTCGGAACCCCAAATATTTACAGAACTCGTTTCGGTGAAGTCTAGAATCTCCATTCCGTATTTTAGGAATCTTGTCCAACATTTGTAGAATTTCGTTTCCAATATTTTATGATTCTCGATTCCACAATTGGGGAATCTCAATTCTAACCTTGTTGAAATTGGATTCCACATTTTACAAAATTCTACCACTTCCTCAATCCCCCCTTTTTCTTTTCTTTTTTTGCCTTTTTTGTTTTTTGCTTTTTTTTTTTTAGAGTGATATTTAGAAGTTTTCAAAGTATCAAACTTCTCGAGCTAGATACTCAGTCTTAAGCTACAAGGTGTAGTCATTTGTTTTAGCATGAAATGATCGATAGAAACCAAAGTAATGGTCCACGTTTTCTACTTAAATCTTTTAGGAATGAATGACAGAGATAAATGTAATGTTTCCCTCTTAGTTCCCTCTCGATCCCAAAGATGTTGGAATCTCGATTTCATATTGGTCCATTCCAACTAGGTTGGAACTCGATTCCAAAGAGTTAGGAATCTCGATTCCATGTTTGTAGGGTTCTCGATTATATTTTGGTTGAATCTCGATCCCACAAAATAGGCATCTTGTCTCCACAATTTCTCTTGTACGGATGTCAATTCCGCAACCATGAATTCTCCTGCTAGCGACGATTCGTACTTCCAATACCTAATTGATTCGGTTTCCAAATCACTTTGGGTAACTGTGGCATAAATCAAAACAACAATTGCTCCTCCATTTATTCTCTTCACGATTCTATGTTCAATTTTGTCATCCTCTAGTTTTAGATAAAATATTTACACTGAATAACACATAAAAACAAAAAAATTATGCGAATAACCCGCGCTAGGGAACTGTCTGGCAGCCATATAAGACCATAAATAAGCAACACAATATAGAAGATTGGGATGAGGGTTGGCAAGGGGCCTAGAGGCCTGACTGCTCCGTCCTTGAAAAACTAGGTTTGGGTCACAAATGAAGCCAGAGGGCTGGGCCAGGGCTTGGGCCATGAATGTGGCCTGATCCTTTTCTTCTTTATTTTTCCACGTTAGGGAAATGTCTGGCGGCCATATAAGACCATAAATAAGCTACACAATATAGAAGATTGGGATGAGGGTTGGCAAGGGGCCTAGAGGCCTGACTGGTCCGTCCTTGAAAAACTAGGTTTGGGCCTCAAATGAGGCCAGAGGCTGGGCCAGGGCTTGGGCCATGAATGTGGCCTGATCCTTTTCTTCTTTATTTTTTCCTTTATTTTTCATTGGGTCTATTAGGCCCTGTTCGAACTGGGTAAGGGTGGGGCCGTTTTGGCCCGATCTGGGCAAGGCTCAGGCTGGCCCTATAGGGACCAGGGTTGGGCTAGGGCTAGGGCTAGGCCCGGCCTGGCTGGGGGCCTGGCCCATTGCCAGCCTAATTGGCATATTAATATCCGTGCCCAATGTAGGTTCACTTACAGCCCCCATAGGTGTACCCCTTATCAAACTCTTTGATTAGCATTCATTTAGATTCTATTAGTAGGTTGGTTCTTTTAAACTGTTAATTTGCTTTAGGCATGACTGATGTGGTTTCTTGGGTTCCTTCTCAGAGTACAGATTTCGCTGGAAGAAGTTTGATTTGTTTTTTGGTTGATTGTATTCTAGCTTTCAATTATAATTCACTTTTGAGTAAGGTTCTTTTGTTTCGGCAGTGGTCTTCATGAATATTTTAGCGCAGTATACTGTTATAGTTGATGCAACTTTTCCTGTTAAGTTAGTTTATTCTTATTACTATGGGTACTCTGGTTTCTTAGTGCATTACTTGGTTGGGCACTCTTCCCTTTCTTTGTATTAGTTATCTAACTTGGACACCTTGTTCCTTTGTTGAAACAGCTGTCACATTGCTAGAAATGTGCTCAATGGCATGAAGACATGTGCTGAAATTGCCCAATACATGAATTTTAACGAAATGAAACCCTACCTCGGAGCAGGAGAGGGTGCGAATTGTCACAATGATGCATGCGGAATGGCTGATTGTGATGATATCTTGGTTGTTCTTCTGCTTGCACTTTCTATGTGTTGGGACTTTCTTTCTTTGCATATTGAGGGTCTAAATTTTCTTGGAATGATTTTTAGGGGACCAAACTACGGAGGCGATCAAGATTTTTGCGGAGAAGGGGTAGGGTACGTCGCTTGAAGTATACTTGGAAGTCTGCAGGTCATCCAGCAATTAGGAAACGAATCGCTGATCGGAAGGACCAGCCATGTCGGCAATTCACCCCTTGTAGTTGTCAATCTTCTTGTGGAAAACAGTGCAGCTGCCTACAAAATGGAACCTGCTGCGAAAAGTATTGTGGGTATGTTTTTGGGTGCAATATTTATAAATAGTGAAATGTCTGTGCTGTTTGTCCTTTGGCATCTACTGAACTGGGTCACTGAGCACTCTTTTTTGATTTGCATATCCATTAGAGTATAACTTTTTTATGAATGTCCTAATTTCACTGTTACCAATTCTATGCTGTTCTTTTATACTAAATTTGGCATTTGCAGATTATTGGTCTTTAAGGGGAATCTTAAGTTGTTTCAATTCGTAAAAGAAAATTTAGAGCTCTATGGTGTACTTGAAATAAAGCATCAGAGTAAATGTACACTCTGATCCATTATTGTGTTTTGCGTAGTTTAATTGATGAATGTAGGGACTAAATTTCATTCTATTGATTCCTGTTATTTTGAATATTTCATGCTCTGGTTATCTTCCCTATTACCTTTCAACTGTGAGTAGTTTCATACATGGCATTACCATTCTTTCTAGCTGCTTGAGTGGAAAAGTCAACATCTCTTGATATTATCTAAAAGAACAAAAGTTTCAAATTTTAGGTAAAATATCATTTAAGGACTCAAAATTATTTTACAATATCATTAAAGTGCTCATAAGATCCCATTTACCACTGCAGGGTTTATTTTCTAAGTTTCATTTAATAAACATACCTTGAAATTTTTGTTCCAAATTTGCCTAATTTCCTATGTTCAAGGTTGGGAACATTGAACAGTTAGGAACATTTTGATAATTTGGGCTACTTAAGTGACTCTAGGCAAATTACGAAAATATCCCTGGTTGTCCATATTTGGGAACGTGAAACTTCCAAATTACTAAAATGCCCTTGTTTATTTAGGGTTAGTAAAATGGAACAGGGGGTATTTGAGTTATTTGGCGGTTCCATGTTTGGAGCCCTGAACAGCTAAGGGTATTTTCATAGTCCTGCTTGAGCCACTCGAGTGGGCTAAATTGCCAGAATTCCTCTAATTATTCAGGGCTTGCCTTTTTTTGTGACGTTGAGTTTTCTACCACCATGCGAAGCACCCACATGTAAAAATGAGAAAATTTTTATTATATTATAAATATATTATTGTATATGAAATGTCACTTTTTGGGACTTGTCTTGCGGTGTTGGCATTTTCTGCTGTAGTATTAGAGAAATTAGACATGTGCTGGAGATCACCGCTTATGTCAGTGTCCATGTAACACTGCTCAAGAGTATCGATTTTCTCCTCTGCAAGCCCTTCTGCATTCTTGTTTCTGTCCCGAAGGATATGGGTGGAAGAAGTTATCTTTGTTCATATATAGCTTCCTTGTTGTTGCCTCAAAGCGTCAACCCTCCACAGGAAAGGTGACTCCTTTGTGATCCATCTACTAACATTAACTCTGCTTCCTTCAACTTTCAATGGAGCCTAAGGGCTAATAGTTTCGATTTGGGTCCTAGCCAGTAATGCTCCTCTGTCTGTTGTAGTTGCAACATCGACTCCAAGGGGGGACCTTAAAGAATGCCAGTGTCCTCCCACATGGATCTCTTAGTAAGACACTTCCTTCAATTGGTCTATTCTGGGATACCACCTTTCTTTGCACAGAGGGCTTGGAGTTGGACAATTTTTCATAACAGTTTACCTCTCTTTGTTGAAGGAGATGAACCCAAATAAGTTACATGACCAGCTACAGAAGCTCAGGTCACCATCTGTAAACATTATCATAGGCTTTTGTTTCCTTTCCCTGCAGATGCCCCAGAGGATGACCATAGTGGGACAGCTTCCACAACAATCTACATCTGTTTGTAGAAGGAAATGACCAATATGTCAAGAACCATCTACAGAAGCCCAGGGTGCCATCTGTCAATTTTATCATGTGTCTTGTTTTCTATTTACTTCTGATAATTCATGATCAATACATGGTTCTTTGGTCTATTTCATTAGGGTATAACACAATAATGTACTTATTGCTGATGCAATTTGGGTAACAATCTAGTGAACATTCAAACTAACTAAACGAGGCTTGGTTAAGCTTTTATTTATCTGTTCCTAATACACAAAGATATGAGTATCTTGTTTGCTCGTTTATGTTATTTCCTTACAAAGGGCCCCATCAGTTGAAGTTTGATGCAAGAAGGAGATGTGGGAATCAAATCCTTGTTTTTCTAAAACCTCAAGCAAGTAAAAATCATGGCTGTAAATCAAGCCGAGACAAGAAGATTTTTCTTCTTTCACAAAATAAAATTCATTCAAATAGCGTCATCATCCGATAATGTGACATCCCACCTTTTATAAGCCGGTGAAACCCTAAAATTAACTTAAAATGAAAGTAAACAATTTAAGACTCTAAAGTACCCCTAAATAATACTAAAATTTCAGAAATGCCCACGTGATTGGTAACCTGTGAATAGTACCAGTGAATAGAAACCTGTGAATAGTGCCGTGAAAAGGACTTGTTGAAAGTTAAAAAAGAAAAAATAAAAAAGTTAGAATCTAAGTGTTGGAGATTATGCATATTATAATTCCTAAAAATTTAACTCGAATAAAAAAATAAAAGGTACATCCACATCCATGATCTCCATCGTTCTCCCTTGGTCTGAGAAAACTTGCCATCGAGTTTTGAAATGTGTTAATGTGAATCCGCATCTAAACACAAGGTTTCTCTTAGCCCAAATATTGTGCATTGATATTACAGCTTGATCTAGGACCTATGGGTTATAGACCTAACCAAAATATCCTCGAAAATATCCCCAAACAGGTTGATAAGGACTTTGGTGCACCCATATATAGTAGCCTGCATTTGTGAGATGGAATCCTCTAGTTGCAAAGAGGAAAGGTCAGCCCTACTATTGGTGAGAGAAAAGAGCTCTTTATGGTTGCTGCCTCTCGTTGCCTCCTTGTTTACTTCTTCACCACCACCAAAATCATAGTCATTACCATCATTGCAACGACCATCACCATTGCCTACAACTTGGTTTTTGTCCTGTATAGGAACTTTGAGTTCCAATTTTCATCCAACGGTTCATAAAAATTGGGATAACCATACAGTTAACAGTATCAAAAAAAATAAAATAAAATTGGGATAACCATCAATGTAGGATCACCTGGTTCTTTATAAAAGATGGGGTCACTATCAAAGATAAGACCATCCACTGATTCAAAGAATATTGAGTCTAAATTGAAGATTGGATTCTTGTTGTTTTCCTTTAAAATTATGTTCCGGTCGAAGCCATCATGCATCAAACTGATCGTGATTACTTTACACATCATCAATCCGTTTCCACTCAAATTTAAACTCTGATTCGTGCCAATCTCCATGGCATCTCTCTCGATTTGGATGAATCCCTATAGATTCCTCGTTGTTTAGGGCATGTTGTTGTTAGTGTTGCTTGCGCAACAACTATGTAACTCTCTCGGTAATGTTATTGATTTCCTTGCACAATTTGGATCAAATTGGGATCCCTATGGCTAAGACCACCAGCAGCCATTGCAATCTCTATCCGTCTTCAAACGGAGCTCTGATACAACTTGATGCTAGAAGGAAAGGTGGAAAATTAAATCCACATATTTTCCGGACCTCAAACAAGTAAAAATCAACAGTAATGGATAAAAAACATGGCAGTCAATCAAGCCGAGAGAAGAAGAAATTTCTTCTTTCATAAAATAAATTCATTTCAATTGTCTCCGCGTCCCATAATGTGACGTTCCACCTTTTATAGGCCTATAAAACCCTAAAATTAACTTAAGATCCAAGTAAACAATTTAGGGTTCTAAAATACTATTAAATGTTATTAAAAATTTCAGAAACACCTATGTGAATGGCAACCAGTGAATAGTATCCATGAACAGTACCCATGACTAGTAAAAAATAAAAATAAAAAATAGAAACTAAATGTTGGATGTTAATCCACATTATAATTCCTAAAAAATTAACCTTAATAAAAAAATAAACCATACACCCACATCCTTGATATTAAAAAAAAAATTGTTTTTGAATCACCCAGCTTTTTATCTCCATCAAGTTTTTAAGCCCCATTCGGATGCTAAGAGTCATAGCAAATAGTCCCTGCTTATCATTATAGGCTATCCTGAAAATGCTGCAGTTTTTATTTTTTATGGTAATTTAGGAAAAATACTTTTTTCTTTTTGGCTAGTCCAATGAGTGTCTTGGTGGCATTTTGTTTGATGAGCAGGGTTAGAAAAATAAGCTCGCCAATGAATTATGGTGGACCAAGCTAGGATGTTTATAACTCATAGATAGTTGGGTAAAAGAGGTGCTTTTCCTAAAATTTCATGCGTCTGAACAGGGCCTTAAATTGCAAAATAGTTTGTAAGTTTGCTTTCATATAAATTAGGATGGATTTACCCTTTAGTTTCCCATGTAAGTCGCATATTCACAAACCTTGACCCATGAGCTGGAATGCCGACCAGGTAGCACTCTGACAGTTATAAGTTATGACATTGCTTAGATTTCTGACATGGAATGATAATGAAGCTTAATAAACGAAGTGCATAAGTTCGCATTCCTGAAGGTTATTTAACTGATAATAATACTTTCGTATTTTATTTGGCACATTTATCTATCAATTGTAGTTGTAATAATCATTGTACAGATTAGATATCATAAGCTCCTGATACATATTTTAAACCAGGAAAAGTATTTGGCGAATCATACAACTTATGTGATTTCGGACCTGAAACACATCCTACATCACTGTAAATTCTTTACCTCAGATCCATGAATTTGAAGCTCCAAAAACAGTGAGGATCTGATAAACTTCGAACAATTAAATTGAGTGGTCCAAAGAAAATAACAAAATAAGCCTTTTTAAAGGCTCAAAATTCATTTCCTTATTCCATATTTATGATCATGGTGGTCTAGAAGATAAACCTGCAAAACTTTGTATCCAAATTCCTTGTCAAAGATGGATTTTAAGAAGGTGGACTCACTATAACAGATCCATCCATCCCCGGATGCGCCTAAACCCTACACTTTAAACTATTCACATTGTATTCTGGATGTCCTGTTTCATGTTTTACTTAAGATGTATCATAATTTTAGTTTTACCATTATTACACAAGGTTTGCAAACAAACAATAATCATCTTTGTTTTGTGACTTAAACATATTTTACTTTTGTTTTTATATCATGTTATATTAATGAATTTCCTAGGGAGATGCAATATCATTTTGTGCACCATATCATTTCAGTATGTCTCCTTTAAGCATCAGGGTATCTAAGCTACCATTTGTTACATATGATTATTCCTTCGTTTGCTAGTGGTAATAAAGATTTACTTGTTATGTGATGAGTATGCCATAAAACATAGCGATTGGACAAAAGAAGTTTTTTGCATTTGTTTAGGCCTACAAAGAAATATAGTACAATCAGGTTGTGTTTATGTAGGTACAATTTCATCCTATCATTGACATACCTAATTATAGATTAGGCTCCATACTGAGTCTGAGGTTTTATAATGTTGCCCCATGTCTGTTACCTTGGTGTTACCTGTTTGCATCTAAAGTATGATTTTGCTTGTTGGAGTTGAATGGAACATAAAAAGTTACCATCTTGTTGGTGCTAATTTATTTGAGTAATGTTGTTATATGTACAAATTGTAAATGTTAGAACCCCTGGAGAATGACATGGAGCTAACTTGATTCCTAAGATACATTTATGTTCCTCAGAGCTGTACAATGTGTTCATTTTGTCATGTCATGTCAAGTCAATAGGACACTAAGTAATTTTTATTATATATCCATGAATGATGGCCAAGTGCTATTTATCTTTTTGTTATATTTATTTAATTTAAAGTTTAGTACTCTCTCTCTCTCTCTCTCCCCCTCTACTAAAAACATATTGTTTGTTAAATGATTAGGATTATCCAAAATTTTCAATAGGAACTTGTGGAAGAATTCTTATCCCTTTCCTATCACAAGGAAGGATTAACCATGCATGATTGTAAATGAGCATGATGCTTGTACTTTTAAATTTCCAACCATTTGGAATATTCTGTTTTTTACTCTCACCGTAAGGAATACTATTGCTTTTTTTTTTTTCCTTCTGTCTTTTTAATTGAATCATCTTGTTGAGGACCTGCATTTTTTATGAGGTGATTCCTTTCAATATGGTTACTGTGAACTCTTTCTTTCACATGATTGACTCTTTTGGTTTCATTCCCAGGTGTCCCAAAACTTGCAAGAATCGTTTTAGGGGATGCCATTGTGCTAAGAGTCAATGCCGAAGTCGGCAATGCCCTTGCTTTGCTGCGGACAGAGAATGTGATCCTGATGTTTGTAGAAATTGCTGGGTTGGGTAAGTGTCCTTGGTTATGCAATGTGATTTGTCATATTTCTACGATGTCATGCTAGCTGGATAGTAGAACTACTCATGAATTGGTATGCTAGTTATAACGTAGTTTTTCTGGCTTTTCACTGTCACATTTATTTTTTAACTGAAATACATGAATTGAATGGATGAGTTAAATATTTCCATTTCCTTATTGCCTTTGTATAACTTCATGGATATCTTGTGCTTATGGAAATTACGTACAAATTAATCAGTTCTTGCATCTTATATGCTTGAGAATTTAATTTCAGTTCTCAGGGTTATTATGGTGAGTTTTTTGCACGTTCCTTCTCATTTTGCCCAAATGGGAGACGATTTAATACCATGGAGGTTATTACATTGCTCAATATTTGGGGCATAGTCATTACAAGTAAATTTTTTCTTAAAAGGATATCATTCTCAGGAATCTAGGAGAGGAACACCCCTCCCCCTTTCCTTATTTATTTTTCCCTCTGAAGAAATTCACTGTATTGTATTAAATTATGATGATTGATCACATACAGCTAGCGACTGCCGTAGATAACAAAATGGCAAAATTACCATGTCTATACATCGAGGGAAAGCCAGGGGCTCGTGACCAATTAAAGCCCCTTTGGGTCCTACCTTGAAGGATGATCCCGGGTACCAAATCATCTCTTCATTCTCAGACCTGGACGGATGGACTTATCAAAAGACTGTTTCTGAAGCTGAATCCTACTACCCCGTGGACTCAGAGGACACCAAGAGAATAAGGTCAAACCCATTCCCAAGGCAACATTAACAAATTTCACAGAGCCATGGGTATGATCTGCGGAGGACCTGAGACAGATATCAGAGATTTTCTCAAAGCCAATGCAAAGACCAGTTCAAAAGTAAAAGGTCTTGGGCAAATGGAGATATCAACCTCTCCTTTGGGATCCGCTATGACAGGGCAGAACCTAGCTCCTCATCCCCTCCCCCTTCTGGCTATTCCCCCTCGCATGGCTGACTTTTAAGACATTCCTTTTGACGTCTTAACCCCTGGTCCACCCCTCCCCAATGAGGATACTGATATGGAATATCATTGATCTTGGAGACCCTAGAAAAGAGAATGCCGTCCTGGGTTACTGCCGGAAGTTCTCACCCCAGGTCCTAGGCATTAACGAAATGAAACTGCCTATCCAAACCTCTCCTCTATCCGCAAGGTATGAGGCTGTCTGTGCTGCCAGTGGGAGGCTTTGGAGGCTCAAGGGCCCTCAGGCAGCATTTGGGTCATTTGGGACCCAGGCCTTCTCCAGTGCTGCCAAGCCACAAGAGGGTCTTACTCTACTTCAGTTTCTTTGTCCAGAATCTCAGACAGTAAACTCTGGCTCTTCTCTTCCGGCTATGGTCCAAATATGGACCACCTCAAAGACCACCTTTGGGATTAGCTCAACAGTGTTGCTCCCATCGACCCCACCTCTGGTGAATTGGTGGGGACCTTAGCCTCACTAGGTGGACCTTCGATAAAAATCGTAACCATTCCCCATGGCAGCTTTCTCCAATGTCATCCGCAGGAGCAACCTAATCGAAATTCCTCTCAACGGGGCACTCTTCACCTGGTCAAACCACTCTGAGCCCCAGGCTCTCCAAATTAGATTGATTTTTAGTATTACCCAAATGGGATGAGGCTTTCCCAAGGACCCACTCTCTTTCTCTCCCAAAACCAACTTTAGACCATAGACCCATCTTCCTTGACACCTTCCCTGGGTTCAATGGCAAGAGACCCTTGTGGTTTGAGTTATCTTGGCAGAAGCAAACCTCCTCTTCTTGCTCCCTCACTGGTGGAACTCCTTCGTGTCCAAGACTGGGAGGGATTTTGATTTCAAAAGAAGTTACAACTTCTTCAAGGCCCTCTCATCACTTGAGCCAAAGAGCCCCCAATCAACTTTGAGTCCACCTAAAGAGGGATCTCATTCCAAATTAAGGAACTCGACTTGATTGAAGAAGATAGAGAACTTGCCCTTGAGGAAAGGACCACTAAAACACATGCTGAACTTGATAATCAGTTGGTCCTCAAAAACGAAGAAATGTTTTGGTATCAGAAGTCCTGTATCAAATGGTTAAAGTTTGGTGACCAGAACACCAAGTTCTTCCACATGACCACTAACCTTAGGCATTGGACAAACATGATCACTCATATTAAGGTGGGGCATCGCACCTACTGTCAGCCATTCGAGGTTGATCGAGCCATAATTAAATTCTTCAGAAAGCTTTTTTTTCCTCACAAGCTGTTCCTAGACCAACAATTAATGATCTCTAACCGGAACACCAAGTTCTTCCACATGACCGCCAACCTTAGGCATAGGGCAAACATGATCACTCATATTAAGGTGGGGCATCACATTTACTATCACCCAACCGAGGTTGATCGAGCCGTAATTAATTCTTCAGAAATATTTTTTTCCTCACAAGCTGCCCCGAGACCGACAATTAATGATCTCTCTTTCCTTACTCCCCCCCTTGACCCCTTGACAATGATGAATGGCTTGAGCGACCTATCTCTGAGGATGAAATTTTAAAAGCCAGTAGGGATCTTGGACAAGACAACAATAAAACCAAGTACGTAGAGAGAGAGAGAGAGGTAGAATTAGGAGAGAGAGGAGTAGGGAGAGAGAAGACTGAAAGAGAGAGAGATAGAGAGGAGGAGAAAGATGGGGAGAGTTCCAGAGATTGAGATAGAAGAAGAGGAAGAAGGAGGAGAGATGAACAAATAGACAGATTTAGAAAAAAACAAAGAATAGTGACTGACAATTAGGTAGAGTGACAATAGAGTAGGAGAAAGAAATTAAAAGAGATGAGAGATTGAGAAGTAGGGAAGAGAGAAGACTGTTAAACTAGGATACATAGATAAACAGGCAAGAAAGAGTGAGAGAGTTGGAAAGAGGAGAGAGAAGAGAAGAGATACGTTTAGAGGGAAGAGAGAGAGAATTAGCATAGAGAGATAGAGACCGATGAGGGCAGGGGCTTGCAGTGTGCAGCAGGCACTGATGGCCGAGGCGGCAAGTGTAGTGAAGCAGGTGGTTGGCTTGGCCTGGAGGAGGGGCCATGCTCAGGTCACTCCCCTCCATGTTGCCAATGCCTTACTCTCCTCCACCAGCGGAATCCTCCGCACCGCCTGCCTCCAGTCCCACTCCCACCCATTACGTATTGGCAAACCCAGAGAACACTTGTGGGCCTCCATAGTAAAGAGGTTTGACTAGAAACTTGCTGCCTGGAAGGGTAGATTCCTCTCTCATGCAGTTCTCATAACGCTAATAAAAACCAGCCTGTCCAATCTCCCAGTCTACCAAATATCCCTATTCTCCATATGCCCATGGATGTAGCTGTACACCTTGAAAAGCTTATGAGGAATTTCTTATGGTCTGTAACCATATCCTCCTGATTGCTAGGAGCATTGTCACCCACCCCAAAAACGAATGGTAGTCTAGGGATTGGGGATCTAGGAAAAAGCAACCTAGCCCTACTAGGGAAATGGTAGTGGCTGTTGGCTACTCAACCTGGCCACTTGTGGCAGGCAGTCCTTTGACAAAAATACCATCGTGACCAATCAAAGTGGCTCCCTTGGGCACAACAAACCTCTAGACCCTTGGGAGTTTGGCATTTGCTTATGTGAAGTCTACCTCTTTTCAAGCCCAAAGTTTCGGTGGAGGATACGAGGATCAAGTTTTGGTGCAACCTTTGGATAGGTAATACTTTCCTACAGGACACATCCATCCCTATTCCAGCTCTCAGTGAACCAGGAGGCCACTAGAAGCCAATCCTTCGAGGCCCTAGGGAGCCACAGAATTTGGAGTCCTACTTTTAGAAGACAGCTACAGGATCATGATCTCAACTACTTCATCTTTCTGTCTGCCCTTATCCAGGGTGCCTTCATACTGTTAGTGGGGCCCGACAAGATCACTTGGTCCCCTTCAGCCTTTGCTATTTTCACATGTTCTTTCTTTATGACATCCTTCACCAACCTCCCGCCTTTCCACATAACCTTGGCCAAAAAAGCTTGACTTACCTCCATCCCACCTAAAATCCAAACTTTCTGCTGGCTGGCAATCCTTAAGAAGGTCCTGATTGTTGACCAAATTCAAACGCAAGGGTCTGCTTATCCCAAACAGGTGTGCTGTGTAAATCAGCCAAAGAGACCAATGATCATCTTCTCCTACATTGCAAGGTAGCCCATTCACTTAGGATGGATCTATTACGATGCTTCGATGTTATTGGTTGACCCCCCAGTCAATACTGCAACTCTTTCAGGCCTTGCACTCACCACTTTACCCGGCAGCCGGCACCTTCCTTTGAAGCATTACAATAGTAGCAGTGATCTGGACCTTGTGGATCGAAAGGAACATGAATCTTTGAGCGTAGGGAGGCCAACCCCAAGATCCTCACTGATTCCATCAAAGCCACACTAATACTTTGGGCACAGAACCACAAAAACTTCAAAAGTTTGAGGTACACTGAGTTTCTCAACTCTCGGCACAATATTTTGCAAACAGGGCTGGCACATATTCCCCGTTCCTCCCTTTGGAGACCCCCCAAGTCAAGCTGAACTTTGATGGCTGGGCTCTTGGCAGCTGTGCCTGGTGGGCTTTGCGGGCTTGTTAAGAGATCACAGTATCCTTTTCTCCTCTACTCAGGTCACATTGCCCTTACTGATTCCAATACGCATGAACTGATACTACTTCTCGAGGCTATCAGAAACTTCAGCCATGAATGGGGGGAGTCCCTCGTTATCAAAGGCGACTGCAAGAATGTCAATGCATGGGTCTCAGGTGCCTCCACCTGCCTGTGGCGCTTAGAAAGAAGTTTTGAACAAATATCCTTTCTCTGCAGCCACATCCACATCTCATTTTGATATACTTGGCGAGAGGCTAATTCTAGAGTTGTCGCTTTAGCAAAAGAGGGTGCACTTTCACAAGCCAGAAGCGGCACCTAACATGTTTTGTGTCCTTATTTTCGTTGGTTTTCTGCTTTGCTGTAAAATGTGCTTTCTCAAGCACCCTTTTTTGCATAGCTTGCATTCTGAGGCACCATTGTTGTTTAGTGTGGCCCCTCTGGCGGGCCTCCAACACATTTTGTATACCCCATTTCAGTTAATGAATACAGTCAATGTTTCAAAGAAAAGCAATGATAACTTGAACACAAGAATGTTTGAGATGGTAGATTCGATTAGGTTCAGCCCCCCCCCCCCCCCCCCCCAGGGATAGAAGTGCCCTTTCCAATAGGATAATGTACATGAAATCTTTCTTCCAAGCTGGGCCATTGATGTGTCCTTGATTTTAGCCTTTCCAATAGAATAATGTACACGAAATCTTTCTACCAAGAGAGGCCATTGATGTTTCCTCGATTTACCAAGGCACATGGGGAAGTCGTGGTACTTAGCGGGCTGAGTCAACACCAGGACCCAGTTTTGCTCACTCACCATATTCCAGTTGACCTCAGCCCGTAACAGCTTTGTCTTGGATGATTATCACATTTATAAATCCTATAACACAAAAACAATCATGTTGGAACTTGGAAGCATTCATCTTGGTATAAAGTAGGGGTTCGTACAACGTTACAGAAATATGAGATATATGCTCTGATGCCATTCTAGAAAAGTAAGGGATAAGCAGGCATACAAAATTAGAAATGTGCAAGCATAGTGTTCCACACACTTTTCAAGAATTAATCTACGTTTACAAACATCCAAAGCACCAACCAAATCTATAACAAAGATCTGGAGTTTATAGTTCATACAATTGAAAAAAATGATGTAATGCAATCGCACTGGCTTTTTCATAGGAAAGAGAACATTTTCAAAGTTACTTATGGGTTACTGCAGAGTGCTACAAGTTTGATGCTAAACCAAAGCACTCTATCATAGAGCAGAATCATTGTCTTTGCCGAACCTTGATGCAAACTATGGATTGGTTGATAAGCTTATTTACTCAACAATTGTGACCAGATATGCATGTAGTTGGGATGGTGAGTCAGTTAATGTGTATTTGTAGAGGTCCACTTTTGTGGGTGGTTAAGATATTGAGATATCTTAAGTTCTGCATGAAGTAACTTCTTTCCATGGCATCCCACTCTAAGTGGGTTAAGGATTACATCTGTATTGCAGCATTTGTTTGTATTATTATATCATGTTTTTTGATGTCCTTTTTGGTGTAATAAAGTTGCTAACATTAATTAGCTCTATTCTGATCCTTGAATAAAAATTCGTTTTGGAAAAACTCACCCTAGTCAGCTCAAGTCTTCAAGTGGGTAAATAGAAATGAAATATTCAGGATATGCCCAAGTCTTTTGTTTTGTGCCATTTTCCATGTTAATTTGGCAAATATATAGTCTACTCTATCTTGGTCGCACCGTGGTATGACTTAATGACTAGCTGTCGTATTGATCTAAATATTTTTTGAAAGAGCTCCCTACGGTTTTTTGAGCCAGCTACTTGGTTTTGGCAGTGGCGGTCGGCCACAAAGTTTGAGTTTTTGAAGATATATTTCAAATTTGGTTAATATGTTTTACCTCTTTCTTTTACCTAATTTCAATCAGTCATTGCAGCTGTGGGGATGGGACAATGGGCGGCCCCAATCAACGAGGTGATAACTATGAGTGTAGAAATATGAAGCTCCTCCTCAAACAGCAACAGAGGGTAATAGCTTCATACATTATGTAATTGATTCCGATCTGCAGTTGATTGAGAGAATTGACTTGGCTTCAATATAATGGATTATAGTTATTAATCCAAGGCCTGTGTTTAAGACCAGATTTTGTGATAGTTTTTTTATCTCATGTCTGCCTTATATTTAGTTATATCTCATCTGAAGTAGAACTTTTTTTTTCAGGTGTTACTTGGAAGATCAGATGTTTCTGGCTGGGGTGCTTTCCTAAAGGTAATCTATATGTCAATTAATGATTTTTGTCTTGAGTTGTCACATGTGCTGAGATGGTCACTATTCTTTCCAGAATAGTGTGAACAAGCATGAGTATTTAGGAGAGTACACTGGAGAGCTGATTTCACACCGTGAAGCTGATAAGCGTGGAAAGATCTATGACCGTGAGAACTCATCCTTCCTTTTCAACTTGAATGATCAGGTATACTTTGCCATTTGAAATTTGTTATTATCCATAGTATTTACCGGAAAAACCATTTTATTCACCAGCACTCGCTTGCAGTTTGTCCTTGATGCTTACAGGAAAGGTGACAAATTAAAATTTGCAAACCACTCCCCAGATCCGAATTGCTATGCCAAGGTGTGAATTTATTCTCTGCTTTTCTATCATGTTATTTTATTCTTCCTTTCCATTTATTGAGGCATTTTACTGAAGGGAATTTCAAATAGGTTATCATGGTAGCGGGTGATCACAGAGTAGGTATATTTGCCAAGGAACGGATATGTGCTGGTGAGGAGCTTTTCTATGATTACCGTTATGAGCCGGACCGTGCTCCTGCATGGGCGAGAAAGCCTGAAGCTTCTAGTTCAAGAAAGGATGAACTAACTAGTACTCATGGGCGAGCTAAGAAGCTTGCCTAGGTTTCAAGATATAGAAATTGTAATCATTGTTCTTGCTAACTGAGTTGCATTTATTTTCTTATTCATTCATTTAATAGCCATGCCACTCTTATGAGAGGTAGTGGTGATTTTGTCATTTAGGTCAGGTCTCAAATGTGCCTAAAATGCCATGAGGCATGCTAATTCCTAACAATGATGTTTACAGGGATGAAAGAATCCGTGTAACAAAAACAAAACTGGGAATCACATGTGAAACTTTTTGTCCTTTTGAATTTGAATTCACTTTATTTATGATTTGAACATGATAGGATAGGGACACCTTGCATTGTGTTCTTTTGTAAATCTTACTACAACAGGCACATCGTTGTGTTTTACATTGTTATAGTACGCCCCTTAAATTGAAGAGCTAAAGCTACCTTATAGGAGTTTAGAATGTCATCTGCTGGCTTACCTTCTAACTTTCACTACAATCCACATTAAAAATCCACAGCTATTTGTATTGCAACTCCAGATGATTGAAAAGCTCAAAAAACTTGAATGGAAAAACAACAAAGCTACCCAAATTGTGGGGAGGGAATTTGTTGTTCCCTGCTCATTATTTTCTTCAACTAACAAATGGAATATCCAACACCGTCGATGTACATATTGTATCAGATGTACTAGATTCCGAGGACTTGGTAACAAACTAAAAATAGGTTGTGCTCAGTCTTTCACCTATTTTTTGCCGTTTTTAAAGCTAGGTTGAAACCATATATTGCCAACCTCTTGAACAGAGAAGTGCTATTGAATGTTGATGTCCTCAATAACTGAAATCGTGTTGCAATGTTAACTCTCTGGTTGGATGCAGTCCTTGTATATTCGCCTCATTCGTCTAGCTTGGCATGCACCTGATGCCTTTGCCATATGCCTCTTGCAGCAAAGGAAAGCTGCAGTTTCTTTTTCTTTTGAATATGTTCATTGTCTGTAAAGTCGTAGGCTAGGCTCCAAGAAAAGCCGCACTTTCTTGCCTCTTTGAAAAACTACATCTGATGTGCTTTTCATGTGTCCTTTTTAAGTGGTTTATTGAATATACCATGTTCTTCAATACTATTCCAAAGACATTATAAGTCCAAGACATATTATCTAAAGCTTTCAATTCTTGAAAATTAAAAAAAGAAGCTTTCAATCCTTAGCGTGAATGGAATAAATGAGCACCTATTTCTTTTCCTTTATTATGTTCTAACTAGTGTCAAAAGCATCATGGTTTATACCATTACAATATCTACCTTAATACTGTAAGTAGTTTATCAAGTCCTTTCTCAAAAAAATAATTCTTAGTAGAAGGCGAAATATTTTTTTGTTGTAATACCTCAATCGAAGTTATGTACTGGATCCATGGTTGTTATCATGATTTAAAGTTTAAACAAAGTGTATAATGTAACAGAATGTGGCTTATCAATTAAGTTTTATGACCGTAAAGGCTATTTGATACGGGAAAAAAAAGATCTTTTACCCAAAAAATGGAGTAAACAGGGCAAAACAGAAAATTGAAAGAGGAAAAATAAAGCAAAAAAAAGCAACGGAGATGGAAATAGGGCAGTATCTGAAAAACATATTTACTCAATAGATATCCCTAAAAATGCATTTATTCCGTAATAAAGTCTGTTGGTATGGCGACTAAGCAAGGATGGATCAAACCCCCAATTCTGATTTGCGTGGACATTCCCAAACCTAAGCACTTTAAGATGAATATTGATGGATCTTCTAATCGAAATCTAGGAATAGCGAGTGTGAGAAGTCAACAAAAAAGAAGATGGGTCTTCTTTTTGCCGCTTTTCACCATCCCTCTTGGGGTGGCATCAAATAATCATGTAGAATTTCTTGCTTTAGAAGCGAGAGTAGATTTGGCTACTCGGATTGTTTTTCTTTATAGATCAAAAGTGATTCATCATTGCTTGTACAAGTCAAATAAGGCATCTGTAAATTTCCATGGGCACCTCACACAATAGCTGCTAATTGCCAATATTGACACGCAAATCATTTATGGCTGAGTTGTTATATATTTCGTGAGGCTAACATGATCGCAAATGTACTCACTAAAAAAACCACAACTTTTTCATATGCAACTATTTGGCGTATTAGGCCTCTTGATTTTTTTCACTTTTTTTACTTCATGATGTGGCCCAACTCCCTTTTTGTAGGGTTGTAAGATAGTGGTTTGTACTTATTTTTATAACTAAAAAATGTGTAGGCGGCCTTCTCCCCCGTTGATTTACAAAAAAAGAATGAGGTATGTGGTTTGCATTATAATATCCGCTACTTTATATCCCACAAATAAATCGTAGTTAAAAATTGAAATCGGTTAATAATATCCATTATAAAGGAAGGTAGGTACTATTGAATTAATAATAGTTGGTATTCCAGCCTTTCTTCTTACAGGGGCTTGCTGGATCTGACCAATTGCCAATCTTATTGATAGCCCATCTTTGGCTCAATAGCCTTTCAGCGGCATGTTTCTGTCCTCTTTTTCATTACTTAGAAATCTTTTTGTCCAAGTAACTTCTCCTTTTGTGTTAGCTATGTTTTTTGTAATTAGTGAACATCAAGAATATCCCCATCACATCTATGAATTGAAAGGTCCAAATGATGAGCTATGCAATAAGTTGTTAAAATCAAATAGGTCCTCAAAATCGTTCATTTGAACAACTTGAGACTTTTCTTATCAGATGATAATGATATTTATTCTTGGTCAATAAAATAACAATTGCACTCTTTTGGTTTAATAAAATATCAATTTTGGATGATTGACTTATTTTATACTATGAATAAACACATGATATCCTTTGACAAGGCATCTCAATGATATCCCATGATCAAGAAAAAAAATAGCAGTTGTTTATTCTAGGAAAAATTACATACATACACTTCTTCGTCCCATTTATTACGGAATTGGAGGACTTTTTTTTGGAAATCACGTCGAGCACCCCCTCTCTTAGAGCGGCCTGATGTTATACCCGTTAATTGCTCCCACTGTCAAGGCAATGTCAATACTAACAAATCCCATTGAAATTCCCATAACCTGTCTGACAGTGGCGCTGATAGACAATTTGGCTATCTATAAGAAAGCCTATGCTGCGCAACGACATTACCAGACATCTTCTTGAAAGTTACTGGCACAATACCCGCTGGCCGTCTATATCCTTGTGGTTTTTATAGCAGAAGAGTGGGTGAAAAACACATGTGGTAACCATATGAGTGGGGCTCATCTTAAAAGGCCAGACTTAAAGACAGAAAGTGTCATGATGCATTTTTCTTTTATTACTTAAAGAGATTATGCTCCCTCCCGTAAAACCACACCTAGGATTAATTTGAGGAATTTAGATTTTGAGCATATAGCCTCTTCAGTCCATAAATTAACCTCAATAAAAAAATTCTTAATTGTACTTTCTATATATTTAGAAAAATAATATCTCAAGATCGAATAGAAACTGTCAAATTTTTAGAGGGTGAGATTTAATTATTAGAAAGCTCAAATAATCATCAAGTAATTACCACGTGGTTCCCAAAATTTTAAATTGAAAAAAATCCTCTCAAATATGGTTTTTTTATACCTAGGTAGTAAATTTAAACTATACTCCCGTAGGAGTAGATCCGTTGTATTTAACATATGGGTATTTCTGTGGGGTTTATTATATGTTTGATGTTGATATTGCTAGATGGGGGAATTAAGGGGTAAAAACAACAAGAAGAAAAGGCTGGCTTGGGAGGGGGTGCTCGTTGTAATATCTAGGAAATTCAACCCCTCATATTAAAAAAGGTGGAAAAAGTATCCGTACATAATTTACTTTTTATTTAATTTAGGGTCAGTTTGGTTATCTGGATTTTTCAATCCCGTGGAAAAGTGTATCCTTACAATTGGTATTTATTCGAATTAGCATTTCTTGGAATATGGTGTATGATGTTTAGATTGCATACGGTAGAAATCATGAAAAGGCAAATTCACTATTTGGATGGTTGGGAATATTTTTTTCCAAGAATTCAAATCCTCACTATCTCTTTCTAAAATTTTTAAGATTGTTTCTCTGTCTAAAATTTGTTATAGTTCTTTCTCTAAAATTTTAATACACTCTCTTTCAAAAACTTAAAATTTGAAATAGTTTCTCTTAAAATTTTGAGGTAGTTTCTCTCTCTAAAATTTTAGATACTTTCTCTCCCTAAAATTTCATAGAGTTTCTCTCTCTAAAATTTTGAAATACTTTTCCTTTAAAACTTAAAATTTGAGATAGTTTCTCTTTATAAAATTTTTGAGATAGTTTCTCTCTCTAAATTCAATTAGTGTCTCTCTCTAAAATATCATATAGTTTCTCTTTCTAAAAATTTAAGTTATTTTCTCTATCTAAAACTTGAAATTTGAGATAATTTTTTCTAGAAGTTTTGAGATAGTTTTATCTCTTTGAGAAATTTTGGATACTTTCTCACTCTCTTTAAAATTTAAATTTTGTTCTCTCTCTAAAACTTTAATTTTGAGAAAGTTTTTCTCTCTAAAATTTTTAAGTAGTTTCCTTTTCCAAAATTTTAATATGCGTTCTCTCTGTAAAACTTAAAATTTGAGATAGTTTTTCTATGTAAAATTTTTGAAATAGCTTCCCTCTCTAAAAATTTCAGGTCCTTTTTCTATCTAAATTTTGATGTAGTTTCTTTCTCTAAGTTTAAAATTTGAGATAGTTTCTCTCTCTAAAAATTTTTAGATCGTTTCTCTATCTGAAATTTGATATAGTTTCTAATCTTTAAAATTTCACTATACTTTCTCTCCACAACTTAAAATTTGAGATAATTTCTCTCTAAACTTTTGAAAAATTTCACAATAAAATTTTAAGTAGTTTCTCTCTCTAAAATTTATATAATCCCTGTCTAAAATTTTAAGACACTTTCTCCCTCTAAAACTTAAGATTTGCGATAGTTTTTCTCTCTAAAATTTTAAGATGCTCTCTCTAAAACTTTACATTTGAAGTAGTTTCTCTTGAAAAAATTGAGATAGTTTCTCTCTCTAAAAAAGTTCAAGTATTTTCTCTCTCTAAAAAATTTCATATACTTTCTTTTTCTAAAATTTGATTTAGATTCTCTCTCTAAAATTTTGAAATATTTTCTTTCACTAAAATTTGATATAGTTCCCCTTTCTAAAATTTTAATATATTTTCATTTTTCAGTAAAATAGGTCATTTTTATGAAATGTGAATTCCATCTATTTTGGTAAAATTGAGATTTTCAAAATATAAATTTAAAATGAGTATCCAGGAATCCCATGAAAATCTTAACTCGAA